ATATATATATATATATATATAGAGGGGGGTTATAATTACACCGGTGTAACTTTTACTATGTATTACACCGCTCAATAACTTTATATTAAATGTGAATTTTTTAAACCCAACCGTTAAATCGAAAGTTCTTTACTCTTAGATCATATATACAAAATTTTATATTAATCCAAGATTTGATACTTCATTCTTATAAAACAAATAAACACATAGTAAGTATAGATGTAAAGACAACTATACTAATCACCAACACCAACATTTGAACCAACAATAAAACACCCCATGGTTCACAATAGATCAACACAACAAAGCACCTCAACATAGCATCAAAAGGATTAAAAAGAAAACTACTCAAGCATGTCAAACTTACATCATAGCGATGTCATTCAATAATAAATTCACCAAAACATATGAACAACACCAAATCACACCACATCATATGTATACACCTTGATTAATATGTCATCACACATTCACCTACGAAGATCTACTACAACACTTGAGTAGTTTAAGTGGCTTGACACTAGTGAACCAATTGATCATTTTCATGCCTTACATGCATGCTAGATCGACAACTAAATTGGGATACCAATCCCTTTCACATGATTTCTCAAATCTCACCACTTAGACTAGGAAAGTCTAGTACCATCGTCAAGTATAGTATAGCTTGGGTGTGGGTTTACCACGACATTAACATGCATTAACCAAGTCACTTGTGGGATTAACCCACTAAATATCCTCGTGATACCACACACCTCTCTAGTAATTAGTTAAGAGTAGTAGTCTTTGACTTCATACCTTATTTTAACATTGACTAAGGACCTAGAAAAGAGTCAACAATCCACTTCAAGAATTATCAGCTATTCAAGGAGGGTTTTTCAAGAACTGGCCTCCTAGAGTGCCACACTAATATCCATACTTTGGGATATTCAACTTTTGAAAACAACCTCTCCTCTAGTCCTAAATTAATCAACATGTTTTAATACCTATAGCATTTTTAGCATCACACCTCAATAGTGTATCAACACAACTTGCCTAAATGTCTAAAGCACTCTCATCACCATTGCCTCAACAATCATCTATATACATTACCTTAGGTTTATGGATAGAGATCTAGCAAGATTGTTAATTTATAGCATACCAATGCTTCTCAACAAATCAATCATACAATCATCTACATATAGCATCCCATATCAATATACATAGAACAACATCACTAATTAATATACAACATGCAATAAATTAATCTAACCTATCCATGTTCACCATTTAATCATAAAAATAACAAGTGTTTCCAAAAAAAAAAAAACTCATGCTCGATGCCACTCACCCAATGCCATTAAGGTAGAGAGCTCTCTGCCTCACCTGCACCCAACATCATTCAACCTATGCCTAGCGTGGTTGAGGTAAAGAACTCCTGGGCCCTCACACTTTGCGTGGCAAAGTCTCATGCCTGGCTCCTATCCAACCTGAGATGATTCTCTTTTGAAGTTAGCGAAAAAACACATAGAAGGGGGGGTTGAATATGTGTGTGTTAGTAAGAAGGAATTTTAGAAACGTTTTCGGAAAAGTAATGCTCTTCGTCTAATGCACTTTTGAATGTCAGACGGTTACACAAAATTTGGTTAACATAATGTCATTTCTTTTGAAGGATTCATTGTCTACTGAGAAAATTTTTTTATAATGATAATTATTGAAGTTCTAAAATTTTACTTTTCAAGATACTTTCATTTAAGGATAAGCAGTAGATAAAACTTCCAGTATAACATGTTTGTTAAACAAAATTTATGTCTTCGTCTGAAAAAAGGTTTGAACGAGAGTTATACAGTAGACGAAGTTTACAACAAGATTTTTCAATTAAGAAGTGTTCGCGTCTGAAGAATAAGTAAAACAGTGCAATCATTTTTATACTAGTTGTAACACGCCGAATTTTCTACTATTACAATATTGATTATTATTTATATATATATATATATATATAGTTATTGTAGTTAATTAAAGGATTTTATAACATATTTTAAAGGTTTGTAATAATTTAATTATTTGTAAAAAATTTTAAATAAAATTCTGTTTCTTTACGCTGGAACGGGCCATTCCAAACAATGAAAATATACAGTTTTTGAAGCAGCAGAATGGGTCGTTCCAAAGTAGAAAAGAAGCCTATTTGGGTTTCTCCAGAATGGGCCGTTCCGGAATTCTAAACTTGCCTAGAAAGTTAAGTTGAAAACGGGCCTTTCTAGTTTAAAATTTTACGTATATTTGAAGGCTTCAGAATGGGCCGTTCCGAAATCAGTACGGGCCGTTCCGGATGCGCTAGGATGCCTATAAATAGGGGCAGGGGGTGAAAATTTTATAACAGAATAAGAAAGTGAAATCTTAGAGAGAGAAAGAAAGAAAGAGAAAAAGAGAGAGAGAGAAAGAAAGAAAGAAAGAAAGAGAGGGAAAGAAAGAGGGAATCCAGAGGAGGAGGCCCTGCTCAAGTTTCAACTCTGCTTATCCAGGTAAGGGGGAGTGAGAAACCTCGCTCAGGGGTGTGGGGATAATTGTTAGATAGTTTGTTTGTCGGATTGACCCCCAATCCCTTGCCTGTTGTTCTGTTTTACTTTCTATTTACTCTACTTTGTTCTTTGTTGGAAATAATAAATGAATATGGAATTAATGCTAAAAATAAATAAGTTTTAATATGAATAAGAATGCTTTCTGTGAATTCCTGTGCGGACCTTATGAGGAGTATTTATGACATGACCATGTGAAATATGGACAAATGAAATGAGACATAAGAATGGACCATTGAGACAAGCTATGATTATGAGACTATGAAAAATAATGACATGATGTACTAAATGAAATTATGTAATAAGTTAAATGTTGAGTTAATGAAATAATGAATGAGTGACATGCATCATATGCATATATTACTCCAGGTGTTTCGCTGAGGCCGCATACAAGTGATGCTAACAAGGTGTACCTTAGGGTCACCAGTGATGTAACTAGGTGTACCTTAGGGTCACCAGTGATGTAACTAGGTGTACCTTAGGGTCACCAGTGATGTAACTAGGTGTACCTTAGGGTCACCAGTGATGTAACTAGGTGTACCTTAGGGTCACCAGTGATGATATGTGAAATTTCCTTATGGCGCCACATGCATACATTTTTGAGTCGAGTCCACGACATCATAGCATGATAAATGAGTATATATGTGATATTGATTGTTTATGTATATTGTTTACATGTGACTTATATTTGTTGTGCGTCTGTGTGTTATCTAACCTTTATTTCTTCACCTGAAACTGAGTGAGATGTTTCTCACTACCTTGTTGTTTTTGTATATGTTTAAATTATGTTGCAGGTGATCAGCATCATGAGGATGTTGGTAATGAGGCTTAAAGCTTCAGTTGGGCATGCTCTGACAGGATGTGACATCGGGCATAGCTAGGCTTATTTTGGATAGTATTATTTTAAAAAGCTTTAATTTTCTCTTCTTTTGTAATTTTGAACGTTCATGAGAAAATTACAAAAATGTACATCTTTGTAATATTATTTTTATTATATGATTTGAAAGTTATAAATTAATTCCTAACTAGGAGGCACTGCCACCTTTGCTGGAATTAATCTATATTTTCTTTTATATGATTTCTTGAGTTTTAATACTTATATGTTGACTTCTTATGATTTATGAGTTATGAATGTGAATCTTCTACCTTATAATATTTGAGATATTTGTTTTATCATGAAAGACGTTATCAACTATAAAAGATTTTATTTACTAAGAAGAAGAAAAAATTGTTTACATTTATTGTGTATTAATGTTGGGGGTAGAGGGTGTCACATTTAGTGGTATTAGAGCAGGTCGATCTAATTGACCGTGAGTTATGAGTTTACTATGCTTATTTGGTTTACTATGCTTATTTGGTACATGAATGATGGACTGAACTGATTGTGAAACTTGTTGGTATGCTAGTATGATGATTGATTATGTTTATTAATTGTATTATTTTCTTAGACTATGACTGGTAGAAATGATCATGCGATTGTTGATGCTCCTCAAGCATTAGCACAAGATATGAATAATAACAATAGGGTTGAGGTCCCTCCTAACTGGTTGGAGCAATTTCAACGAAATCACCCACCTACCTTTAAAGGAGGATATGACCCGGATGCTGCTATGAATTGGCTAACTGAGATCGAGAAAATCTTCAACGTTATGGATTGTCCCCTCACTCAGAAGGTGAAGTTGGCCACCTTCATGTTGACTGTTGATGCTCACTTTTGGTGGGAAGGAGCACTTCGGAGGATGATTGATGGAGGGGTGCACTTGAATTGGGACAGCTTCAAGAAGGCTTTTCTTGAGAAATATTTCCCAGATGATGTGAGGAGTCGAAAAGAAATGGAATTCCTTGAGCTGAATCAAGGGAACGACACGTTGGCAGATTATGCTGCCAAATTTGATGCTTTGGTTCGTTATTGTACACACTACCATGGTGAGGGTGGTGAAAGGGATAAATGCATAAAATTTGTAAATGGTCTGAGTCCTGAGGTGAAAACTGCAATTAATTATCAGGAGATATATCACTTTTCGCACTCTGGTCAATAAGTGCAGTATTTATGATCGTGACAACCGTGATCGTGCTGCTTTTTATAAAGGAGTTGGAGGTCTTATCCGTGCTGTGAGTTCTAATACTTAGGGTAGGAATAAGCCTTACTCCGCTCCTACTAGATTTCAAGGGAGTAAAGCTGCTGCTAATAAAAGAAAGTCATTTACTAGAGGATCCACTGCTAGTGTTACTGGAAGTGTTGGAGGGTCTGTGTCCACTCCTTCAAGAAGATGTGGAAAGTGTGGACGTATTGGTCATAATCAGTCTGAGTGTAGTGACAAGGAGGTTACTTGCTTCAATTGCAGGTGATGGAGCTACTTGGAGGAGATTGATGTTCCTTCAAGCTCTCCATGTTTAGGACTGAAGCAACTCTTGAGGTAACCTTGAAGAGAGATCCGAAACTCCTTGAAGCAAGCTCCAATGGAGTAGAAGTCATTGAAGAAGGTTCGGTTACTTCTAGTTTGATATAGAAGCTTAAGGAACCTAGGCAAGGTTTGAAAACTTTGGTGAAACCTTAGAGAAGAAAGTGTCTCCACGGTTTTGAGAGTAACTCTTGAGAGAGAAATCTAAAGTTTATTTCTCAAATTGTTCAAAAGTGAGTACAAGAGAGGTAATTACAAATATATAGGGTAGAGGTAGCTTCTAGGAGAAGCTAACCTTGACCATGGTTCACTTAAGAACCATGGTAAGGTAGGCTTAACCTACCAAGGTTTAGTAGCTTGTAAGGCCCGTCACACCCATCAACGCGCCGGCCTCGGTTACTGAAATAAGAAACGAGTTATGACACGCTGCATTTTAAACAGGCCTGCATACGCGAAAGGTCATTTCCCCCAACAAGCTCGGACTCAACTCCACGACCTACGGTCTAATGTACTATCCGATTTGTGAAACGCGAGAAAGGGGACAAAAGGTCTCTCAAAATTCAAACGGTCGCGACACGTGTCAACCAAGGGACGCACCTGAACACGCAATAAATGAGACCCATCATGACAAAAGGAGCCATCATTGCGTAACCGTCACACCCATCAACGCGCCGGCCTCGGTTACTGAAATAAGAAACGAGTTATGACACGCGGCATTTTAAACAGGCCTGCATACGCGAAAGGTCATTTCCCCCAACAAGCTCGGACTCAACTCCACGACCTACGGTCTAATGTACTATCCGATTTGTGAAACCGAGCTCGGAGCTCGGTACCATAACCGAGATGACCTCGGGCGCCCGCTACACGAC